TGTAGGCCAGAGGTATGGGGTGGGCGAGAAGGGGAGGTGAGAGGATTCACCAGAGACAGAATGGGGAGCAGAACAGGCAGATCTACTGGAATACACTGTTAAGGGCAGCAGTGGGTGAGACAGGAATGGTCTGCTGTACCATATGTGGGTTTGCTCCTTGGCCATGGATAGAACTCAGGCCATAGCGGTGATAGCACTGGGACTTAACCCCTACACCATTTGTGAGGCCCCTGACCTTGCTTTTCATTTTGAACATCAGGCAATAAGAGAGTTTGCCCTTATATCTTTACTCTTCATTTTCTGCCATGAACATTTCAACCTGCCTGTGAAATATAGTTGTGGCTGATACTTGATATTAAGCTATATTCTATCGAATTACTTTCCCCCGATGTGTGGGCAGGGCCAAAACAGCTAAAACTCCCTTCTCTATACCACTACCGCATATAACAGAATGATCAGTAAAGAAGCTTCTCTGTTTAAGCTTCCACTTGTTACAAAGAAAGTTAAATTTTCTTATTTAACTGAAACCTCCATTCCTCCTTTAGAGCCTTAGGTCTTTAGGGAACATATCTTAGCAGTTAAGTTAGAGTGGGAAATAATTTCATGCGTTTGATGGTGCTTATTAGGATAAAGCCTTTTCTGGTGGTAAAATCTGACCCATAGTCAGTCATATTTGTCAATCATGCCACACACAGACATCCAAGATAGGAAATAGTAAAACATCAGAACAGTTTGGCATTGCTAGAGAGCACTTTCTGTAAATCTTTAGTTGTTCCTTAAATTGTGAATGAGTGGCAGCATAGTCTTATTTGAGCTCTTTGGTTTTTTTTTTTTTTTTTTTGCAGAAGTAATAAGTCTTAAGTATTTACACAGATTTGTTTTGTGATAAAAGATCCAAAGGAGGCTTCAAAATAATTTTCAGATTGCTCTACCAGTTTACCTTTTCACCCTGAGAAAGCCTGGAATGTATCCAACAAAACAGCTTTTGCTTGTTCATACCTTTCAGAATGAATCATCTTCCTTCCCTTTAATGAGAGAAGAGCTCTGTTGACTGTTTCTGGGAGAATTTCCATAAATGTTCCCTTCTTTTTAAGTCTTCCATTGCTTCACTTGAACCTAGGGAGTGCCTAATGTTCCTGAAGATTGTCTGGTAACTTACAGTCATTTATATTAAAAGAACAGTCAGTTCTGACTTCTGGGAAATGTCAGGTGCTTTTTTTTATTATTATTTTTTTTTTTTTAGTTTTTTTTATTATAGAAAGTGAGGAAAGGTAGGCAGCACACTACTTGAGAACATTTACTGAGGCCCTCCCTAAAGGCACAGAAGGTTAGGATGCAGCACTGCCACTTAAGTCTGTGTTGGCTCCCCTGGCCCAGAGATGATCCACATGGCCCAGCAGACCTCTCCTGACACACCCGCTGTTCCCCTCAGCAGTGTACTTTGTCAGTCTTGCTGTTCTGCTCCCTACTCTATCTCTGGTGAAGCCTCTCACCGCCCCAGCACTTGTGGCCTGTTCCCCAATTCTGTATGCATAAATAAATAAATCCTTAAAAAAAACAACAACATTGTACTGAGGCCTGTGGAAAGTTGAAGCTTTGGTCTTGTTTGTTGAGCATAGTTTTCTTTACCTGAGATGGAGAGTACTATCATCAGATTGTGGTGGTGAAATGTAGGACATCATTTCATCTTCTTGAAATTCAAATTATGTCCCAAATAGCTTGAACTTCTTATTTTTATATTTCGCAGTATCCAGACATGAGTCAAGAATCTGATTCTCCATTTGTTTTCATCTGCACAAATCCCCAGGAAATGATTGTGAAGTTTCCTATTAAAGGAAATCCAAAAATCTGTAAGTCACAAGCTTTGATCTTATTTTTTCTTTTTATCTTATATCTCATTAAACTTTTAAAAAAAGATTTATTTATTCATACAAGAACTGGGATACAGACCAGGTTGTGGAGGTGAAAGGATTCACCAGAGACACAGTGGGGAACAGAACAAGTGGATTGAACACAGCTGAGAGGAACAGTGGTGATGAGAGGAACAATGGGTAAGACAGGAGAGGTCTACTGTGCCATGTGGGTCACCTCACTGGTTCGAATCAAACTCAAGCTGCAATGACTGTGGGTAGCTTCATAGTGCCATGCTTCTACCCCTTGCGTCACCAGGGAGGCTCCTCATTAAGCTCGTTAAGTCTTTCTATCTTGTTCTCAAGTTTTGAGAAGTATTGAAAGATTAATGTAAGTTTATTTCTCAATAACTTTAATGTTTGGTTTGCTACAATATAGCCTTTCGAAAGTGTACCCTGATCCGCAATTACTGGCCAGCTTGTGAATCATTGTAAATTCCCATTTAGGACCCCAGTATATTTAGAATCCTATTTTATCAATCAAGATGGTATGCTTTGCTTCTCTTTGTTCCTCCTTAAAGGAAGTAGTAAACCAGTGCTGGTAGCAACATTATTATTTGTCCATGTTCCTCAGCATTCACTTCAAGAATAAGGCTTAACTTTTTAAGTGTCTATTTTAGAGTATCTATTTTGGAAGTACCACTTCCTACTTTCCCTTCATTATTGGTCTTTCTTTTCATCCCGTTTTTGAAGTCTCTTAATGATTTGTTTTTCTGTAACTTTTGCTTTTATGTATATCTGTAACTGTATATTCACTTATGAAGTGCTTTTTAGTTTTACTCAACTTTTAATTCTTCTTCAATATCCAAATTAATTTTCCTTTGTATAATCCTTTTGCAGTCTTTCTGTTTCAGAGTAATCTCAAGAAATAATAGTGGTGTCCTTTCTGCCTACGTTCTTTTTTTTTTTTTATAATATACTAGTTTATTTTTACATCATTTTGTATATATTTTTTTTTATCTCAATTGTAATCCCTGTGTGTTTCCCATCACCAAGTCACCCATGTGCCAGCACCATAGTCCAGTGCACTTCCCTCCCCCCACCATTTTTGATCCCATTCCCCACTCCATCTCCGTAAAATGTCTCTGGTATATGGCTGTTCATTATTAATTTCTTGCCTGGTCCATTATACTCCTGCTATGAGCGAAACCATCCAGTATTTTTCTTTTTCTTTCTGGCTTATCTCACTAAGTATGATCTTTTCCAGCTCCATCCATGTTGCTGCAAAAGATATGTGTTTCCTTTTTTTGGTTGCTGAGTAATATTCCATTGTGTATATGTACCATATCTTTTTAATCCGGTCATCTACTTTTGGGCATTTGGGCTGCTTCCATGTTTTTCCAATTGTAAATAAAGCAGCAATAAACATGGGGGTGCAGGTATCTTTTTCAATCCGTGTTTTTGTGTCTTTTGGGTGGATACCTAGATGTGGGATTGCTAGGTAATAGGGAAGCTCCATGTTTAGCAGTTTGAGGAACCTCCAAACAGTTTTCCATAGTGGTTGTACTAGTTTGCAGGGGAGTTCCTTTTTCTCCACATCCTTGCCAATATTTGTTGTTGCTAGTTGTTTGAAGATGTGCCATTCTTACTGGGGTGAGGTGGTATCTCATTGTGGTTTTAACTTGCATCTCCCTCATTACAAGTGATGTTGAACATTTTTTCATATTCTTGTTGTCTGCCTAAGTTCTTTTTAAAAACAACATCAACAACTCTCCCATTTGCTCATGTCAGTTACCATTTTGTGTCTCTGTGTCATCGCTTTCCTATTGTATGAATTGTCATCAGCTGTGCTCCACTCTACCTCACCCTGTACCTTGGCGACTAAGTAACTATTTTATAAATCTGTTTTCTAGAAAGTACTTTTCACACTGTAGTATAAATAAAAATCACCTAGAATGCTGTTAAAATACTGGTTTTGGGCCCTTTCCCAAAGTGATACTGATGTTGTGGGTCAGCTGACTAAGCTTTGAGTAATACAGCTTTTGATCACAAAATGAAATGCCTCGGGTTATGAGTTTAGATTAATCTATAGTCACTACAAAATTCAGACAACCATTATGATTTATGAGACATATATTCCTGAGATTTCCACAAATCAGAAAAATATGAACATGAATTGCCCTTGACTTACTCAAATTATTTACTTTAGACTCTGCTTCAGCTGGTGACCAATGGCTCTTGAAAATAATTTTCTTCACCTCTACTATTTAGTTTTCAAACCTCTTTTTCCTCTGTCCTTTTTGGGTGTGGCACACCATCACTTCCTTACTTCATTCCATTCTCACCTTACTCTAGGTACTAATGGCAAAAGTGATGGTAGGAGGAAAATGTGGTAGATCTTCTCTTCCAGTGCACTGCTACTTGATCTTTAGTACTAGTTACTTCTCCTAGGTATTTACCCTGTCTTGGCTTTCGTCTGCAGCTTAAGCTCCTGTGAGAAATGTTCTGTGTAAACAGAGTTGAGGTATTTCTCTGGTATATATTTTTGGTACTTTCTCTACTCAAGGGTAATATGTAGATGGTATTCGTTTTTTCCCTAAGATTTAATAAAGGTAGAAGGAGTGGTGCTCTTAGGAGAAAGCTTTATAACTTCTTGCCCCCATTTTCTTTCTTATTTTTTTTTTGCTATTGTTTCTCTTAGTTAATAGCTTTAAAGGGTTTCTCTGGTGGCCTCGGGTTAAAGTCTTAGAGCTGTCACTGCTATTGCCTGAGTTCAATCCCTGGCCAGAAAGGAGCTGACCCAAGTATGATGCAGGAGACCTCTCCTGCCTCACCAGCTGCTCCCCTCAGGAGTGTATTTCAGTCAATCCACCTGTTCTGTTCTCCACTTTGTCTCTGGTGAATCCTCTCACTCCCCCGTCTCCCCTTCATCCTCCCACTTCTGTCCTACACCCTAGTTCTTCTACACAAAAATTTTTTTAAAAGTGCTTTAAAAAGTCAAAATGAACTATGCAGTTGTCTCAGGGACAGCTAGGCTGAAGAGAAATTATGAGTCTGCAACTTCTTCCATGTAGACCAGACAATACAAAACACTGATTTAAACAATAGGTAGCAAAAATTAAAAAAAAAAAAAGAAAAAACAGGCCAATCAATCCCTGTATGCCTCGCAAAGATTTCTGTTGAGAGGAGCCTGAGGTTGTGAACAAACTATTCCCTGTTAAAGCCTCATCCCTTTATCCTTTGTTCTTCCTTACCATATCTAGAGACTTTACATGCTGCCAGAGCTTCCTTCCCTTAGGGCATAAGCTATTTCCATTAGTTCTAGGTTGAAAAGTCTCTAGCCATTTCCACAGAGGAAAATACAAACTTGGCTCTTAATTGGAGTGCTTCATATTTCCTTCTAAATAGTTTGTTCTTCGGCTTAAATGTTTTTTGGTGGGATGGCTCTGATCTTTTTTTTTTTTTTTTTTAATTAAAAAGTTTATTTTTACATCATTTTGCACATTTTTTTT